CGGGCATACTGAGTTCCGCCTTTCTAGAGAAAATGCAGGCTTGAGTTTTGGTGGCGTTGAATTCAACTAGGTTGTTCGTTCCCCAGGCTGTGATTTCAGCAAGATCTTCATTGACAGCATTGACCTGCCTGCGCCGTGAGTTCTCAGAGTCCTGGGAAGAAATGGGAATTCTGGAAGAGAAGGCAGTATGGAGGGTATGGAGCGTCTCCAGCAAAAATACAATATGCCGCGCGCTGTCGGTCCGTCTGAAGTTCAAACGGACGGACTGCACGTGACTGCAACTGCAACTTGGTTTTGGAAATACTATACTCACCCACTCATTTACAGCTTGTCTCCCTTTAAACGGCCCCCCTCTATATCTCAGCTATTAGTCTTACGAATCGTACCAAATGTTGACCGGTAGGTATATGAATAACCATCAATATGATATGAACAGTTTTTCAGAGACGAACATACTTTTGGACAGTGCCGGTGCATTTTCATTGAAATAAGAAGGGGTCGATTTTTTATTTTTTATGAAATCATTAGGACCGCGAAACTTATGATTTGTGAGAAAAAACAGGAAATACTTTCTTCTGTTGAACCTTTTCCGAGTGAGTAATGCTATTGAGATGTCCTTTTTTTTACAACCCTCCATAGAAATCATATGAGGATTCATATGTGGGGGTTGAAACCATGAAGAATAATATTATGAGTTCAGTTTTCCTGTAAAAAACGACAATTCGACTCGGCGACAATTCGACGCGGCGACAATTGGACGCATGCGTAAATAAAAATAATTTTATAATTCCAATGAAATTCATTGTATAAAATATGAAATACTGATGGGCTTATATCCATAATTATAACAAATACCTATGGCCTCGTTTGACAATTATTTTCCTATCTCATATCGTAATATGAATTTACGATACGAATATAGTACAATATTTTACCTACTACCAAAAACGCTGATTATTTAATCAAATATGAGGGTTGGGTTAGGTTAGGTTAGGTTAGGTTAGGTGTTATATTATAGATATGAGCCCTGCATATTCCATGCAATAAATTTCATTGGAATTATAAAATTATTTTTATTTTCGCATGCGCTCAATTGTCGCCGCGTCCAATTTTCGTCGCGTCCAATTTTCGTCGCGTCCAATTGTCGCCGCGTCCAATTGTCGCCGCGTCCAATTATCCGCGTCCAATTTTCGTGCGTCCAATTGACCACGTCCAATTGTCGGTAATCCCAAGATTCTATCTCCAAAGGTAACAAAGATATCACGCGAATGCATCGAAACCGAGACACATTCAAGAGGTTCGTTTTTGATGAGTAATGAATTTTTACTACTACTAGTCACTTCAGCATCACTTGCATACCCCATTGAACTGTATTTTTGATATACTTCATGATTTTTTCATTCCCTGTATGTCAGAAACTATTCATTGTAGACCAAAAATAAGTTAAGCCTCTTTTATAGGAAATTCCGTGTTGTTGAATTCTCGATATCTATACACTTTTTTGCTAGAGGCGAATTCGGTTTCCGAAGAAATTAATATGAACCTTGTTTTCTTTCCTACTTTTCACCTTGTATAACCAGGATAAGCCTCAAACAAAAAGCCGCAGAGAAAGTACCGCAGATATGCAAATTTATTTTTGTTACTTCAACAAACCTATACCATCAACATAACTCATCATTGTTGCGCGCATTCCCTGCTGTTTATTTTCGGAAAAAGTCTGCTGAACTTGCATCTGTCGGGATTGCCGAAACGTGATTCTCATAAACAGGGCGTTCCAGAACTCATCGGACCAGGATATACAGGATGATTCACGTTGGATAGCACATTAGACGTTTCTGAAGAACGCAACTCAGGATTATTCTGAAAAGTTGGTGCCTTGGATAATCAGTTGTGATCTATCGACCTAAAATATTTTCAGCGATGCGACGTTGCCGCTTATATTGAAAAGTAGCAACAACTTTGAGTTTTTCAATGGAACACCCTGTATATCATTCCATTTTCTGATTCTCCCTGAAAAGCTGATTCCATCGATCTATCACACTTGGGGTCTAGCGGAAATGATAACAAAGATATAGGTTGTGAAAAATCAAAATTTTTCAACTTCAAGAATTTTTTGTGTCGAAACTACTCATAATTGATCAAAACGGTTTTCATGTCCCTATCTCAACTTTTCATGTACTATCATTTGGTATTCAATTGGAACTAATACAGGGTGGTTCAGAATTGAGATTTTTGACCACCCTGTGGTTTAGAATGAAGATTTTGGATGGTTTGTTTTCTTTTGATATCAGATATTTCACTGCTATCGACAGCTTTGCTTCATTTCTTCATCACTGGAACTAGAGGTACTAGAGCTTGGTGTTTCTAATGAATTAGAATCACTATTTCTAAGATAATATGATTAATCACTCCATCAATGAATTCAACTTGAGTAAAGAAGATGATAATAAGAATGATGAATTCAAAAACCAACAAAACAAAACATCGAAAATCGAAAAATCATAGGTCATGGTTGTTTAGCTGTCAGTGTACCAGTGCTGCCAAAATCGTTCAGAAATGAGATGCAAATTCAAAACCACTGCTACTGTTTAGTGTTCCTAAATTGCTCACTGTGGCCAGTAATGTCAGCAATATCGGAACATGACCATATCAAATTGGTATAGATGGCACTTGTAGTTTTTTCAAAAATAGAGTATTCCATATAACCGGATATATTCCATACTCCTCGACTCTTTTCCTTTTTTCGACGCATTTTATCACAGAACCGTTTAAATTAAGTGTCGATAATAGCGACAGAAAATTATGTATTTGTAAAGGTCAACTCCCAGAATGTTTTAAACGATTTTGTATCTAAAAAATCAGAAGAGTTGCTATTCAATCATATTGTACATCTCGAAACAACCTTTTTTGGTTTATTGTATGTTATCAAGAGACCTGGATCATCACTTATCTATATAGCTATAACCTATTCATTGAGTTCATTCATTTCTATGAAAGCAAAAAGCAATGAGTCAGGCAAGTGAGGTGATGCTGTAGCATCAAGTCAAGGTAAACATATTGTTGCAATATCACGATAAGATATTGAACTGATTGAAGTAACGGGAGACCAGAGGAGTCGATCTGATCGACTAGACTTTTGTAATAAAATAGGTTCTTTAAAAAGACGGAAAAGGGTAAAGGAAAGGGGCCCCTAGATTTGTATTATCTAGGGGTCTTGATAGGGTTGATCCGAGGTTTGATCCCACCCTGGTCCCTGCTCTCTTAAAGGTAGTCAGGTGAAGTTAGGTTATTTTTTATCGAAATCGGAATCGGAGTTCTTGGTTGGCGCAAAAAAAGATTCAAACAAAAATCCAGCCGTTCAAAAGTATACTTGGGGCAGTCACCTGATTTGATTGGGCAAACCAATGTTTTCTACAACGTATAGTTTCCATCTTATCGATTTGTTTGTTGATACTTCTAACGCCAGGTATCTCCGAGGGTATCTCCTCAACCTTTTTCATTTGTCCTTTTGGAGTGCACGAAAGGGAATCCCTATTATATTCGAGGAACCTCGTGCCACTTGTAAAACTATTGAATGGTTTGGAATATCCATCAGCTACTTCATTTTTACTAAATGAAATTGACACACTCTGTATATTAGGAAATCCTAGACATTCAATCCGATTCAATCTGTAATGGATGATGAAACACTATTTTATTTTGCTACATAATCATTATTTGTATCGTTCTAAACAAGATCGCCCGTATTTGTTCAAGCCGAGGTTCAAGCATTGAATAATAGGAATTTCCTATTCTATGCTTGACCTCATGCTTGACCCATTGGAAAATAAATGAAATGTCTAGCAATTGATTACGAAATTGGTATTTTTAACATATTCAGACAGTTGGTAGGCTATAGCATTTTTGTAAATGTCAGTGCCAGTAGATATAGTTATAGTTTATCCAAAAACAATTGCAGAATCTTGTGCCGCACCTGCAGTCACATCAAAGGAAACTTCAAACACGCCGACGCCGCACAGTGCGGGATATTCTGCAATTGATATTGGATATACTATACCATCTTATCGATTTGTTTGTTGATACTTCTACGCTACTTTTATTTTCTGAAAGTTGTTGAAAATTATGTGTGTAACATCCAGATGACCACTCCACTTTCTCATTTTTTTCTCATATCTACCGATTATTCTAGGGCAGTTGAATTTATCTAGGGCAGGCACATCCTGGCCTGGCGTACCGCTGACTACGGCCCTGAGATGGCTATTGAGTAAAATATAAACAATCACCCTGTACATATCAAAATAGTAGGCCAGGTCAAACATTGATCGACAACCGTTGGAGCTAGTTAGATAAAGAAAATCCTATATCAGTTGGAACATAATTCAATCGTCGTGTGTTCAGTTATTTGATAATATACACATTGGATTTGAAATAATATGACGACTTTTGGGGCTTCCAAAAACCTCCAAATGATAAGATATATTTGAGCATACTGTATGAGTTTTGGTAAAATTCTCAATCTCAGTAATCTCACTCCTAAAGTCACCATGTTTAAACTAGCTCTAGAGGAAATTCGAAAAATTCATTTTCGCAAATTATAACGATTCTAGTGCAAATTCAAAAACGGTTCAAAATAACTACAAGGGACATTTTTTACGTTCTTCTCAGAATGCTACGTAGGTTTCAAGAATTAAATAAAACACAGGGTGTTCCATTTAGATTGGAATAAGGACGACTTCGTCCTGCTATCGATCAAATCTAAAAATTATAGATCTTGTGCTCGAATCAATTATCTCAGTCGATACACGAGATGGTCGAATAAGTGTGGGACACCCTGTATACTTATAAATATAACAACATAAACAGATGAAGCATAAAATCAACGCTCCGAAATGATTTCCATTCCCAGAATAGATAAAATATATGAATGAACTATGATAATTGAATCAACCAAAACAAGATATAATATGGGACTGACTCAACGGTCGGTATAGATACAAAACCGAAGTTGCAACGTGTTGACTGTGCTATAACAAGTTATAGTCTCAGGTCTCTCATTCAAAAGCTTGGGCAGTTGAGTGGGAACTGCTAGTGTCCCGATAGTAGCTGACTCAAGTGTTTGTTGTTAAAAAAGATGGTTGAAACTTCAGTGAAATCTTTAAAGTTGAGTGGTTCGGGTGTTGTAAATTATAAAAATAAGTGCTGTATTTTTTGGTGTTGTGGTGTCATCATCGTTTTATCGTGTTGATATCATTTTCAACTCGATTTCCAATATGGTTTGACCACTGATCTCCAGGAATATTCCAATTGAAAACAGGTATAAGCTTCATCATGGAATATTTTTCAAATGTAGTGTAATTCCTCGTGTAACTCATGGAGTTTATAAAAATTTTGCAATTTTATCATTACTGTTGAAAAATCGCCGTAAGATCTTTAAGCCATCTTTTTTCAGTGGATAAAATAACTAATTCTAAATGAATAATTGTAAACGGATACAAACTGGTGAAAAATGTATTTGTTTGTGAAGAAAAAAAAGTTTGACATTTCATCTCTGTTGATAGGTTATAAAATGTCACTTTTCATGAATTACTTTTTTCCCGTGGGAAAAATGTGAATACTTTTCCCCGGATATATATGCACTGTTGATTTCGCTGTTGATGGCTTTTGTTGAGCTAGTTCCGAAGGATAAGCCAATAACACCGTCCCCGAGAAAGATTTGCAAATCCTTTTATCTTCCATTCCACTCCGCTCCACTTCCTTTCGTAAATCACTAACAACCACTAAATTCGCAATTTTTTCAAAATCAATTCACAAATCAATATTGGTTCCCCATTTTTCCTGCCACAGAAAAAAATAGTGTATTATACAAGAGAAAGCTATTAGATTTTAGGACACAACCCCAAGCTGAAATATCTCGGAAATATACTACTTTTTTACCTTGTATAATCAATTAAAAAACTATTCTTTCTTCAGCGTCAACCAGAAGTATTAATTTTTTTCTCAGCATAGAATTATATGGGTAGGTATTTATGTACATTCATTTTTACGTATTACTAGGCGTATTACAAGTTGATAATAGTATTTTTCATAAAATGAATAAAAAGGTCTCGAAAAAGGTCCATCATAATCCAATTCGAAATAATGCCGATATTATCGACTTGAAAAATTATTCGTAGTTTATGTTTTATCGTTAATTCCGAGGTTAATTCTATCCATTTGTAGTTTTCCTATTTGATTATTTTAATTTTCTGTATTTCCCCCGAGATTTCCCCCGTTGATGTTGATACTTGGAAAACAAATTTCCCAACATTTTTTCCACTTCGTAGATAAGAAATATCATTGACGACATATTCTGGAAAAGACTTTGAAATACGCCCACTTTCAGGAAATTTCACCCACTTCCAATTCTGAAAAAGTACAAACCCAATATACCGATAATATACAGTGTGACTAAGAGAAGTTCAACGTTTCGAGACTTCCTAATTGTTATAAGTAATACAACGGGAGTAAGTATTGGGAAATATATTCTATTGACAATTCCCTGAATGTGACAGATGTAATGTAATGTATATAATATTATACAGAGGGTTATATAACATAAACATCATGATATCTCCCCCCTGAAAATAAAATGATCAATAGTAATAATCCGTCAAATATTCTGGTATATTGATTTTACGTCCTAGTCTCGTGAACAACTTGGTTGGTTTTGAATTCTATCATCAGAAATCACAACAGGACGTAAAACACAAGGTGAAACACTATAGTATCAAAGTTGTTATCATGAGTATTCACTTCAGAATTCAATGTCATTTTCATATCAACAACAATCCCTCTCTCCAAACATTGGTTGTCATCAGTTACCGAATTATGAATTTTTGGAATTGATTCACAATCAATATCTGGCTCGTAATAAAAGTTATCTGCTTCATCATCAAATCTATGTTTTATCTTTCTCAAAAATCGTCGATTTCTTATTAAAACACGCCCTGTGTTACACATTCTAACTATATTTGTTCTTGGTCTATTACTATCTATATATCAACAACAACTGCTGGCTCCCAATGATCATCACACAAGACCATTACACTATCATTTTTCTGTAAATCACTCCAAGTCCTTTGCTTGTCTGTCATAATATTGCTTTACTTTGACGTTATTTTTCTCTATTTGAATTCTATCATTTACATCTATTCGTGTTTCAAGTAAAGAAGGATTGTATATGACCTTTCAACTTCCTACTGAATAGTAACTGTGCTGGAGATGATGAACATCGACTACTAGGTGTTTTTTAAGAGATTCTACGTGCCTTTCTATGAAACCATTTGATTGAGGATAATGTGGACTAGAAATGTTATGCTGAATATCCCAACATTTCATGAGATTTCGAAATTCGCCACTACTAAACTGATCACTGTAAAATACAGTGTGACCCACTTCTAATGGAAACACCCCTGTATCTTACGTAATCGTTGGGCGAGTCGTTGGGTAAGGATCCTGAAATTTGCTGCAGCGAGAGATATACCAAAAATGCACTTTATGATCAAGTGGGGTCATCTTCAGTGATATACACTGATCGCCAACAGCCATGGAACCACCCCAATTTCCGGAAAATGATATTAGGAGTCAAAATAGGTTGGAAATCACTTTGGATTCGGAATCAGGACGCCCAATTCACTAACTATTCATAGTTTTCCTAGAAAATTTTCAGTTGAAAAAAATTAAATTTTGGCTCACTTCTCATGGAAGCACCCCCGTATCTCACGTAATTATTGACTTAGGGTTCTGAAATTTGCAGAAGAAAGGGAAAGTCCAAAGATGAAGTCAATTACGTGAGATACAGGGGTGCTTCCGTAAAAGGTGCGACAGAATTAAATTTTTCAGACCTGAAAATTTTCCCGGAAAAAAATCCTGATTCATAATCTGAAGTGATTTTCGACCTATTTCGACTCCTAATATCATTTTCCGGAAATAGGAGTGGTTCCATGGCTGTTGGCGAGCAGTGTATATTACTGGAGATGGCCTCACTCTCGGCCTCACTTGGTAATTGAATGCATTTTTGGTATACCTCTTGCTCCAACAAATTCCAGGATCCTTACCCAACGATTACGTAAGATACAAGGATGTTTCCATTAGAAGTAGGTCACACTTATATTCTATTGAAAATTTCACACCAAACATTTTCGATCATGTAAAGCCTGTATTTCTTATCGTTGCCATAACAACCAAACAAATTTCTTGAAAATTTTTTCCTCCTCCTTGGGGGACGGAGCATGAAATTACACTGGAAATTTTTGGACGTTTATAAATTATATGACAGTTACATTCAACGTCAGATTATTTCGAGTTCATTCTATAAGTCAATAAATAAAAACCATTTATCAACAGTTTACCATATAATAATATGTAGTAGGTATACTTGCAAATTCGAAATTCACAAAAACACATGTTGTTACTATACGTTAGTTCTTTTTTTTATCGCTTGGAGCGCACGAAAGGGAATCCCTATAATGTTCAAAGAACATCGTGCGTTCCTAGGGAGGATAGGGACAGGAGGTAGGTATTGGAATTGTTTTGAACTTTTGGAGATTATATGTTGTTGGGAATACTTCCACAACCATCATTTTCAACGAAATCATCCTCGAAATCATCACTTGATGAAATTCCTTTAAACTGATCGAAACTGTTTAGAGTGGAATTTTCTTACCGAATACCACTTTAGCCTCAATTAATAGCCGGGAATTTTCCGGAAATAAATGAAGCTCTCGTGATATTATAAGTGACAATTCCCTAAATCTGACAGAAGTATCAACAACCTCCCCCAACTGTTATCATCTACAGACATGATCATAATTATCGTAACATTGGAAAGATTTTCGGTGGAAATTTCATCAACTTCAAAAAATGAAAAATTTCAATTTGAGCGAAATGAAAATTCGAGAGGGACTTCTCCACATTCTTGGAGACTCAACAACAATAATAATATATCTAGATTGTAGATTGTAGATTGTAGATGGGTCGTATAGGCTGGGAGACCTCTCGATCACTGCGACCTAGAAGATCTATTGTGATTACCCCTATCTAGTTTTGGTCCTCTAACCCTAGACTTCTGATGAAGCCTACGATTTTCCTGACGGTTGACTTTTCCACTTCAGCAGGGGTGAGATAGACCTGTTCTAGGTGGTTCAGCCTTTGGCGGACTAATACTTCACATGAGCAAAGTATGTGTTCCGCGGTTTCGGTCGCATTGTTACAAAAGCGGCAAGTGTCAGTCTCCACCAAACCCATCTTTTTGAGGTGGTACCTCAGAGGGTCGTGTCCTGTGAGAAAGCCTGTGATGAGCTTTAGCTCTGGTTTGCTGAGGCTGAGTAGCTCTTTGGCTCGGTTCTGCGAATGGTTGATGAACCTTTTCGCTTGTCGTTGACCTGGAGTTGCTCTCCAGTAGGAGGACTTTTCAATTTCTTCCCATTTCCCGAGTTCTCCCTTTAGGTGACATTTGTTTATCCCACAAAAAGGCTTAGGACCAAGAAGTGCAGATGCTGCACCTTTTTTTTCAAGGCGATCAGCTGCCTCATTTCCTTTGATTCCTTTATGCCCTGGAACCCACATAAGTGTGACTTTGTTGCCCTTTCCCAGTTGCATGAGTGTTTCAAAGCAGTCCCATGTAATCTTTGATGTGAAACGAATGATTTTAGGGCTTTTAGTGCGGCTTGGCTGTCTGGCTAAATACTTCCAGTGGATCCGTTCTTCCGATTTGAGTCTCAATTTCCTCCAAAAAAGGTGTATGTTTCTATCAGATGTACTCGATACAATTTGAAATAACTGTTAATGTCTTCAAATTTTGAAACACTGAACCCTCTATTGAACGCCTGATGGTATCTCCGAGGGTATCTCCTTAACCTTTTTTATTTGTCCTTGCACTTGCATTTGTCAGTGCACGAAGGGCATCTCTATTATGTTCGAGGAACATCGTGCCACTTGTAAAATATTGAATGATTTGGAATAACTATCATCTACTTCATTTTTTCTCAATGAAATTGTCACACCCTGTATATTAGGAAATCCTAGACACTCAATCCGATTCAATCTGTAATGGATGATGAAACATTATTTCATTTTGCTACATAATCAATATTTGTGTCGTTCTAAACAAGATCGCCCGTATATCTGTGAGTTCAAGCCGAGGTTCAAGCATTGAATAATGGGAATTTCCTATTCCATGGTTAACCTCATGCTTGACCCATTGGAAAATTTAATGAAATGTCTAGCAATTGATAACGAAATTGGTATTTTTAACATACTCAGACAGTTGGTAGA